TTTAAAATAACCTTGGCTCATCAACTTTCTGTTCAAACACTGGAGACGTTTTATAAAGTCTGAGTAGCAGCTGCAAGCTCTTGAATACCAAATGTGTTGGGAAATGTATATCCCATATGCAGGTGAAGTTTGTATATTGCTGCTAAGGTGGGGAAAATTTATAATTTCAAAATTTAACGTCTCGCTTGTCATATATTCTGGTATTGAGATGACCGCTTATTTCAAATCCGAGAAGTCTAAAAATGAGGCGGAGGAAGCCGTGTCTGTTGTTTCTTTAATTTCTAGTTCCCGTGGATATATTAATGGAACCAAATAAAAAGAGTTTGGATTGTTAATGGAAAGAACATCATCAAAATATCGGAATGTGAAATTAAATGATCGCGCTTCTTTGATTTTCTTGTTTTTGACAAGTGTCTGAAGGAACTCCAACTCATATGAAAATAAGAAGAGGTCGGCAAGGAGAGGCGCACAGTTCGTTCCCATAGGAATGCCGACACCTTGCTTAAAAAGTCTATCTCCAAATTCAACAAATATGTTGTCAATGAGAAACTCCGGCATACTGATCACTTGGTCCTCTGTGTAGCATGTTTAACCTTTTTGTTCACTTTTATCAAAATATGTCGTATTGTATCCCAAAGCAATACATTTATAGCGTATGCTGCCATTTTTATATTAATTTGAAAAACATTGTGGATTATTTCTTATAGACGATTTTTCAATTAATTTCAGAGAAAATCGAGATTTAAAATATCAATAAGTTGTTTAGATATTTTTTTTAGATCACTGCATACTTTAAAGCTGTCGACAAATTAGAGTACGGGAATACAATAATCAAATAGCAATATCTGAAGATTGGAATAAAATAGAGGACTTTTCTTTAAAAGAGAGTCTATGTATACGTATGTTATAGTTAAACATAGCCATTTGAGTATATTCAATTCTTTTAATACTTTAAGCAAATAATGTTCATCAGCACAATGACACGTGATATATATATGCAAATACAAAAAACTGATAAATAAATACACTATCAATAATTGATAAATGAATACATCCGAGAAGAATAATGACTATATCAGGTATTGGATACTAACAAGTCTGTTCTACGTTTACATGCATGGAAGAAGAATTTACAAAGGTAACATATGTATTTTACATTTTCTGAGTGCAACAAATGTACTAGCTTAAATGACGATGGGCGCCTATGATAATATGGCTTTATGTACTGTCTCCTAATTGCATTATAACAATCACACTGTAAAATAAAATGAAATTCGTCTTCTATTGTATTTAAAGTACAGAGATTGTATTTTCTTGCTGATCTTTTAATACCGTGGTATCAGCCTGTTTCAACAAATAAATTATGTGAAGACGATCTTATTCTCGTTAGATAAACTCTAAAATTCGCCTGTTAAATAATATCTTGGTTATACAAGAAATCGTTCAGACCAAAATCGAACAATAAATACTTATGATTCCATCTATTTCTGTTATTACATTGATTCCGTACCTGTTCTTGATAACAATTATTCAGAATACACTTATTTGTTGATAAAAGTTTTAACCAGTATTTATAATATTATACAAAGATATATCAAACATTCAAGGATATCAACCAAGCTCATTATACATTAGTGCATTCGTGGTACATAATTTAATACCCAAAAGTTGTTTGCAAAAATCTAACTGAACTTTTTCAAGATTCGGAGCTTATGAAAGCAATATGTCTCACTGCCATAACATAGAATACTACTAATATACGTATCAAACAAATCCAAGTATGTAAAAACATTCAAATATAAGGATGATACTTTTCAAAGCAAAAACTGCTTTCCTTCCTTGCTCAGCTAATTGTTTCCTGAGTTTTAAAAAAATACTGTTTTAATTCAATAGTACACATAAGTAACAAAATTCATCAACAATGTCAATGACATTACCATCAGATTACCACCTTTCTTCTGCCCTCATATTACCACCATTTCTAAATAATATAATTTTTGTTTTAGAATTGTTTACAGTTAAATCCCATTTACGAGTGTGCAATAAAAATGTGTCTTACTTATCTAATAAACCTTTTACAAATCAGAAAACAGAATCATATCATCGGCATACTTAAGTAAATATAATGACAATTCCTGTACTTCATACGGTACATTACCGTCACTTAGAAATTCTTTTTCAAAATCGTTCACATACAATAAAAATAGTATTAGAGAGAATACCTCACCTTGAATTACTCCAAATTTATTAGTGAACTGCTCTGAGTAAGCATCAATTCGTACACATGATTTCACATTGGCATACATATATTTAAGCAATGATAAAACTTTCCCTGTGATACCATTTTCTTACAATTTCAACCATGAATTCAGCCTACATACTATATAAAACGCCTGTTTGTAGTCTACAAAACAGCAAAACAAAGATTATAGATTTTTTTTTGAATGAAAGTTAATAAACTAAACATCACATCAACGGTACCACTACCCGATCGAATTCCAAACTGAGCATCAGTTATAATGTCATAGCTTAGCCTATCAGACCATAGTAACAATCTCATATTCAAAATGGACGTGAACAATTTGGCCAAATTACTAACCAAACTTATACCGCCATAGTTTACAGGATCAGACGGATCGCCATTTTTGAAAGCTGAAACAAGTATCGCAACTGTCGATGTTGTCGGAATATAAAACGTATTCAACTTTTTTGTCAAATTTAAAGTATGTTCTTTTTTGTGTTCAATAACATCAATCGTTACCAATTGTACGACCTTTGGGGTTAACAGTATCATATTGCTTTGAAACAATTGTTACAATTTCGTAAACCAATGATTATAATAAGCAATATCCTTCTCATTTTCAATTATCAACAGACAAATAAATAATATAAATAAAGGAAACAGTAGTATACCGCTGTTCAATAATATAAAAAGCTATATTTATAAATATCTATTAAAAACCCTGTTTTAGTTTAAATGCAATTGAAATGATATTTACCAAGCTTGAACAAGCCTTAAATATTTTATTAGCATTGAACAAGCGGTATTTAACCAATAATTAAAAAAGATATAGACATTAAAACAGTTGTTTTGAAATAAGTTTACTTCAGTGCTGGTTTAGATATGGGTGCCGTTATTTTAATGATATTGTTGCTAATTTCTTTAGTAGACGGTAAGAACATTTGTTTAACTGTACATGTTCAGAATCAACAATTATATAATAGAATTAACAATAAATGTTATGATGTGTCATCTACTCTGTATGATTTAAAAGATGTTTCCTTACACCGGATGCATACTATTTCATATCATTGCGTATTTAAAAAGATAACACGTAACACTTTATCAAAATGCTGTGAACGTTAATGTACAAAGCAAAATAATGTATGGTTACATTCTGTCTTCGTATCACTAATTAAAGACACTATTTGATATCTCATTATCCCTTTGATATCTTATTATCCATTTGATATCTTATTATTCATATTATTCATTTGATATCTTATTATCCATTTAAAATCTTATGATTCATTTGATATCTTATTAATCATTTGATATCTTATTATCCATTTGATATTTTATTAATCATTTGATATTTTATTAATCATTTGATATCTTATTATTCATATTATCTATTTGATATCTTATTATCCATTTGATATCTTATTATTCATTTGATATCTTATCCATTTGATATCTTATTATCCATTTGATATCTTATTATTCATTTGATGTCTTATCCATTTGATATCTTATTATTCATTTGATATCTTATTATCCATTTGATATCTTATTATTCATTTGATATCTTATTATTCATTTGATATCTTATCCATTTGATATCTTATTATCCATTTGATATCTTATTATTCATTTGATATCTTATCTATTTGATATCTTATTAACCATTTGATATCTTATTAACCATTTGATATCTTATTAATCATTTGATATCTTATTATTCATATTATCCATTTGATATCTCATTATCCATTTGATATCTTATTATCCATTTGATATCTTATTATCCATTTGATATCTTATTATCCATTTGATATCTAATTATTCATATTATCCATTTGATATCTTATTATCCATTTGATATCTAATTATTCATATTATCCATTTGATATCTTATTATCCATTTGATATCTTATTATTCATTTAATATCTTATTATCCATTTGAAATCTTATTAATCATTTGATATCTTATTATTATTCATTTGATATCTTGTTTTACATTTGATATCTTATTATCCACCTGATATCTTATTATCCATTTGATATCTTATTATCCATTTGATATCTTATTATTCATTTGATATCTTATTATCCATTTGATATCTTATTATTAATTTGATATCTTTGATATCTTATTATTAATTTGATATCTTTGATATCTTATTATTAATTTGATATCTTTGATATCTTATTATCCATTTGATATCTTATTATCCATTTGATATCTTATTATCCATTTGATGTCTTATTATCTATTTGATATCTTATTATCCATTTGATATCTTATTATTAATTTGATATCTTATTATCCATTTGATATCTTATTATCTATTTGATATCTTATTATCTATTTGATATCTTATTATCCATTTGGCTTGTTTCGTTGTGTTTGTTGTATTTGGTTACTTCACTTGCCTTTGAATTTGATTATTGACTTATTCCGTTAAAACAGATGTTTGTAACCAGTTACCTATAGTTTATTTATATTGATTGAATGTTGGTATTTTTAGATGTCTTATATCTTGTTACATCTTGTTGTCTATGTAAAACGTATTAATTTGAGAATAATTCGTTTATTCAACAGTTCATATACAATAAAATTTGGAAATGTTATCTGGAATAAACAATTCTTTATTAAGCATTGACATCCTGAATGTATGTTTGCCTAACCAAAGCCATGGAAACACAGACAACAAATCGATTATTAAAAACGAAACCTGATACATTTTATTAACGATAGAGGATGTAAAAAGTTATCAATTGTTTAAAACAAGAACATACCATTGAGACTAAAAGGGTTTGGATGTATAGCCAATAGCATTCAAACTTTTAGTATAGGACAGCAAATATGGATTTCGTATCATTCATAGTTGTTATATTCCCGTTAATTACAAATGTGAAAGGTATGTTAAATTGTACAGAAAGATACTTTAATGTGAAAGATATGTATTTCCATATATTTTTCATGAATTGAAATCGATTCTGCAATTTTCTTGCATTAAAGCTTTAACACTATATTTTTAAACTTGAAAGTATGGTTGATAGGTCGACAATCTAGCAAGTATCCTAAGTGCTACATTTTATAATCTGCAATCCATTTCATTTGAGTTCCAGATTGTTAAATGGCGGTTTGGAAAATAAATAATGAGAGCGGAATACAAATTTAAAACGTGAAAGAATAAAATCATTTAATTTATCTACAAATGTAGTCCGTTCAACCTTTACCGCCAAAAAATTAATTAAAACCTTTACTAAATTTTTACGTTTTTATCAGACAAACTTCCAAATCAAATCTTTGTATCTATAGAAGAATGGTCAAAGGACGTTTTATAGTTTGGTCTCTGGTTTAGTGTTGTCTCATTGGCAATAACCTCTAATTGTCCTTTTCTAGCGCTGGGTCGATATCGCTGCTGGGGAACTGCTAGTTCCCGAGAGTATCACCAGCTTAGTTGTCAATTCTTCGCTCCTGGCATGATTTATAACATATTTTTTCTTAAAACTAAGAAATTGTTCAGAAAATAAGATCCTTTCTCCCAAGGCATAAATGATTTAAGGCAAATTTAATTATTAGTTTAAGGGATTATTTGTCATATAGCTGCTCAAGCATTCAATTAATTGCAACTTTCTAATGAGTTCTGCGAAAAAAAATACTCGACAATTCACAATATTAAGCGATACTATCGTCGTATCAGGAAATGATATTGTTGTTACAACAAGGACGTTAGTATGTTAATATTGATTTTTTTATTTTTATCTTGAACAATTCATCTAATTATACCTCATACGATTCAAGTCAAATAAACAACACTATCGATAGGTTCAATTTCTAAATCAGTGACCTTTAAGCTTATTGGGCGTAAACGTTAAATAAACAGTCTTGTAGTTTGCATAGCTCATCTTTGAAATAAGAATATTAAGATAATGAACGTTCTTAACTTTTAACGTATATTCTAAACAATAAATGTCTATATATGTTTTAGAAAGTATGGGGGAAATCTCATCCAAGTCTTTTACAGTTTAGATTTATTGGTTACCTGGTTTTGAAGATGCAGGAAATATTTGTCATATTTATCACTTGAAATTGATTTAAAGCAATCAATCGATCTATCAAACATTGTGAATATACTAGATTAGAAAGAAAGTGTTAGGTTGAACAGGAACAACAACTTATATTACAGACATTCCAGAGCTTATTAATAAAATTGAGAATAGAAATGGGGAATGTGTCAAAGAGACAACAACCCGACCATAGAGCAGACAACAGCCGAAGGCCACCAATGGGTCTTCAATGCAGCGAGAAACTCCCGCACCCGGAAGCGTCCTTCAGCTGGCCCCTAAACAAATATGTATACTAGTTCAGTGATAATGGACGTCATACTAAACTCCAAATTATAGACAGTAAACTAAAATTAAAAATGATACAAGACTAACAAAGGCCAGAGGCTCCTGACTTGGGTCAGGCGCAAAAATGCGGCGGGGTTAAACATGTTTTTTGAGATCTCCCCCTCCCCCTATACCTCTAGCCAATGTAGAAAAACAAACGCACAACAGTACGCACAGTAAAACTCAGTATAAGAGAAGTCCGAGTCCGATGTCAGAATAGGAAACAAAAGAAAATAAACAAAATGACAATAATACATAAATAACAACATACTACTAGCAGTTACTGACATGCCAGCTCCAGACCTCAATTAAACTGATTGAAAGATTATGTCTTCATCATATGAATATCAGGCACAATCCCTCCTGTTAGGGGTTTAGTATTATACCGTCATAAAATATATGAGAAGAACATAACCCGGGTCATGCCAACAACTGGTTTTAGAATAAATGTGTTTAATTCCGATGCAAAGACTCTATAAGTGAATCAATATTAAAGCCAAAATATGCAATCTTTAATGAACTGACAACAGTATCGTAACTATATCCCTTCTTAATAAGTCTGTTTAAAGGTTTTGTAATGTATCTTTGAGTCAAAGTTAATAATATAATATAAAAGTGTAAGATGAATATTCCTTTCTTGACACATATTTGAGCAATTAATGAGTTCTGCTTGGGTCTATTTTTTCATGCTGATTAACGTTTTATGAATACGTATTTGCATTTGCTTACAAATTTGCTTATCTCTATCGTCTCTGAAGGCTAAATCCAGTAGTGTGCATTGTGTGCACTGACATTTTTATCATGCTGATTTATTCATATTGCTTACATGTATGTGTTTACCGGCCAGTCAATTTTAAAGGTGGTGTTATACAACAAAGAGGAGGGATAAGGCAGGGGGAGTGGGAATGTACCAAACTATCCGCACAATTTTTCACCGACACAGAAAATATATACAGATAGTTGAGTAAAATCGTAAAATGTAGTCTCAGCATCGGCCTTCAATGAACAATATTTTACTTATAATGATGAATGTATTTGCTCTAGGAGCGTGCCATGCTCAATATATAAGACAATCATTTACGTCCTTTTCATAGAACAAGTTGCGAATTTGATATATATCACACTACTAAAACCTAGTAGGTGAGGCCTGCCAAAAAGGGACAAAATTCCTTGGAACGAGAGCAACTTTGTCCAATTTCTGCTTTCCAAAATTCTCTCATTAAGGGAATACGATACAGTAGCAGGGGCAGATAATAACGTTTTCAAATCTTTTCGTGTTGTTTTCGCGACGTTGTTAATCAGAACGTTGTAATTTCGCGTAGTTTCTAATAAGAACGATTACATTTCGCGAAGTCGAGTTAAATGTAGTCACATTTGCGGAAAATCGACTGACGTCATAATTCCGGTTGCGCGAATTTGAAACAAAGTACCTGCTAAGAAAATCGGCCATATCACGAGAAAATTGTTATATTTATTCATTAAAAATGAGGTCAACAGTATTAACTTGAAATGTGAAAAAAATCGAACCACATTCATAATTTTGTATGCGTTTTATTTCATATAGGAAATGAAAACAAGATGTGTAAATAATAATACGTCGATGAGACAGAAATCCAATTACACAAAAAGCCCAATAAGTAATTTAGATATCAACGTACTGTCTTGATCAAAACATAGTATCTACACCATTTTGCAAACTCTAAATCGTATGGAAAATTTTACAGATAAATTTAACAGAGACTATCAACAAAATGACAAATAGCATGATAAATAAAGACAACGCCCAATACTGTTCCTGACTTTGAATAAGTACACTAAAAAGTTAAACGGCATTTTTAGAATTTAACCCAGTGGAATATATATGTGTATATGTGTATGAAAAAGAACTGTCAGTTAAAAAGACACAGTTATAAGCCCCGTATTATAGACGGAATGACAGACAGAAGGACGGACGGACATACAGACAGGGGTAAAACAATATGCCCCCCCCCCCCCCCCCCAACAACGGAATTGGGGGGAGGGGTATAGAAATACCCTGAAGACAAGCTTACGCAACTTATCTATTGATACAGAATAATGCAATTTCATGCTCTAATACCGACTGCTGTACTTCCTATGAAATGTTTAACTACACCGTAATTGACTATATTGAGATAATTACGACATGAATTTGCTCGAAACAGCTCTAAATATTCACTTTTTAAACATGTTCAGAGTAGTTCTAAGCTGACCCGAGCTAATGTGGGTATGGTATTGTGTTCATATAATGCCTATATAGTAGGCCGTTAGTTTTCTTGTTTAAATTGATAACATTTTTATGTCGGGGCTTTTTAAAGCTGACTTTACAGTGTGGCTTTTTTTTTTTTGTTGAAAACCGTACGGTGACGTTTAATTTCGTTCATCTTTGAACTATGGTTGATAGTTGTTCTCATTGGCAATGATACCAACTGTCCTTATCTTTATAGTATCCCACTTACTTTATAATTGTTTCATATTTTGTCATGTCGGGGCTATTTGAATAATTGAAATTATGCCCAAGTTGTGTTGTCTACATGAGTTGACGGACAAATGTCGGACAGAGATGCAAATTTTTTTTTTATCAGAATTATCTTTTTTGTTTCCGCACTTTTCTTTTCTAAAAGTATTTGATTTTTGTATCCAAGTTTCGTAACAATTCATAAAAGTTTGGCAAATATGTTATGCTATTTTACGAGTAACCAGCTTTGAAATTTTGATGATTAATACATTGTATCATTGTTTCCGAAAAAAACCTTGGCTATACCAATGAACTTGACAGCCTAATCGTGAACGGCGGGAATGATTTCACGACGTTATTGCGATTAAAACTTATTTCAACGTAGTTTAGCGCCCTATTGGCAACCTATTGGTTTGTCATTACAAAATCAAGGTTTATTGCTTTTATTGAAAAAACAAGCACATGGACCCTCAGTTTTTTCTTTTGCAATCAGTCAAATAATGTTTAAAGAACGCTGCGCCAAAATTTTAAGAAAAAATCAACGATCGAACTTTTTCTGCACTTCTGAAAAGACGCAAAAATATTGCTAATTTCTTTATTTCACTAATAGTAATATAAATTCTGAAATAATCATTTGGTTTAACTTTAAACTTGTTACAGAATGGTCATGCCATGGACCAAGGGAACATTTTACAAAAAAACCAGGTTAAGTTATGACTGTTCGTTCAAAAGTATTGTAACTTTCCTTAAAAGTCCTTTTTTGTGAAATTTCAGGATTTTCGCTCCAAATATGCAAATTTCGAACCAAATTATCTAAAAAAATAAGTCATGAAGGTATATTTTTCTTTGCATATTTCAAAAGTACACATCGAAATTGACCTTGTACCAAAATTTCAAGACAAAATCAACGAGGAATCTCTACTGTATCGTATGCCCTTAATGCTATATAATAAGCACAAATAAACTTAAGTTTACCAGCCTAGACAAACGTGAAGATTTCAACTTTCCAATTGTCAACATCTATTTTATCAGAAGTAATATACCCTCTATCCCATCTAATAGCATTTACATATCTCAATTTACATGTAACGCTCGTGTACGTTTACACTATACGGAATTAAAAACTGCTTCAACAGAGGTATGAGGTTAAACGACTCAAATCAACACTTCACAAGTTTTACGGACTACATCACAAATTGGTTGTCCGATACGGTGTGTCTGTGTGTCAACTCACTATAGTTAATGTTTTGCATTCTTAACTTCTTAAATATTTAGATACCAGAAAACTCGTCTAATTGGTAAATGTACCGATCTGTCCTATTCTCAATTGCGCCATTTTGACTGAGTATGGATTCGGATGGCGGGTGATACATGCATAGCAGGACACGCGTACCCTGCCGACGCACCAGACCTTGGCTATTTTGGAATAAATGATTTTTTCTGTTTACCTTGATTTGCAATCTTCCTAAATATTTGTTGATTACTGTTGCCTTTTAATTTGATTTTAAATTTTAAGAATCGTTTATGCTCGTAAAGAAAAATGGATCGGACACAAATTGTTTTCAAAATCGATATGGTCTTCTAATCTACTACATAGCAGTATATAGTTTACTCTTCTCTTTCAAAACAAAAAATGGTTTCGAGCATAGTATAAAGTTTCTAAATGTCTTCCAAACAGAGTAGTTTAAAACTTAGAAATCGTACAAAGTAAAACATTGGTATAAGTCCATGAAAAAGAGAGTCTTACGAATGGAAAAAAGCAATGATGTAATTTAAGTGCAAACGGTGTTGGACCTATGGTATCGATGACAAATAGAACATGTCTCTATTAATATTACTTACAATTTGATGATATCCTGCTTTGATTTATTGCTAACCACTCATATGAATTTATTACAGGTCAGTCGTGTTACTTGGGCTACCACTCTTGTACAGGATATCATTGGTGCTGTCCTGATGCTTACATTTGCACTGGGTCTACAACCTGTTTATCCATAGGGTAAGTACTGTAATGTTCTGAGTATTTGAAAGAATCTTTTTATCGATTAAAGGGGTATTAGATGTCAAATTCATGTTCACCGATTGTTCCCAAATTCTCATATTTTATTTATGGACCTCGGCGGCCGTTTGGTATAAGTAGTCGAACCACTGTATCACTAGCCTGTCAACACTGAGGTTGTGAGTTCGAATCTCCCACGCGCCTAGTGCAATCGACTCCAATCTTAATTTACTAGGAATATCAGTTTCCTACCGAAGGTCGATGGTTTTCTCCAGGCACTATGGCTTCCGCCACCAAGAAAACCTGACCGCCAAGAAATAGCACAATAGTGCTGAAAGTGGCGTTAAATACCAATCAAATATTCAGTCATATTTTATTTGTAACATACTAAAACGAATATTACAAAAAGGTATAAAAGAAATAATTAACAATGCATGGTCTCGCTATAATGTATCAGCAGTTCGTACGTATTTTAGTTTATTTGTATATGTTTTACAATTTACATCTATATTTCAAAGTTTAGGCATTTTTTTTAAAATAAATTTTTGACCCGTATATTTCCTATTTGCTGTATTCTATTTTATCTAAAACAATCACATACATTAGATCTCCATGTAAACATTGTCACATTTACATGTTTTGTATAGACTATATGGGATGCCCTTAAATAGAGGCTACAGATACAAAAGGGACATTCAAAACCCATAATTAGAGGGAAACTAACAACGTCATGTAAAAAAAACACGAATGACGACGAAAAGACAAACAGGTGCACAAAATCAGATGAACCCCACAAAAAAAAAGGGGGGGGGGGAGGTCTCTGGTGCTCTGGAAGTGTAAGTGATCCTGCGTTACCAGTGACACCCACCATGTTGCCCATAGTAAGTACAACATCGGTAATATGTCTCATATTGCTTACCCTTCCGGAGCACCTGAGATCACCCCCAGTTTTTGATGGGGTTCGTGTTGCTTAGTCTTTAGTTTTCTATGTTGTGTCATCTGTACTATTATTTGTCTGTTTGTCTTTTTATTTTTGGCCATGGGTTTGTCAGTTTGTTTTCGATCTATGAGTTTGACTGTCCCTCTGGTATCTTTCGTCCCTCTTCTGTAATGTCGCAATCGGGGAATAACACATAAAAATCGTTAAAAAACGTACGAAAGCAGAAAAGCATGCAGTATAGAAAAACGAATAGACAAAAAAGCACAAATAAAACACAGAAAAAAGGATAAAAAGCAAAGCATATGAATTAAGTCACAAAAAACATCACTTTAAATAAAAGAAAATGACAATTATCTTAACAAAATAAGTAACTATCAAGAAAGGGTATTATCCAGCCAACAAAATAAGTAACTATCAAGAAAGGGTATTATCTAGCCATCAAAAAAGTAACTATCAAGAAAGGGTATTATCTAGCCATCAAAAAAGTAACTAGCAAGAAAGGGTATTATCTAGCAATCAAAATAAGTAACTAGCAAGAAAGGGTATGGTCCAGCCACCAACATTGTAACATACTAAAACGAATATTAAAATTACAAAAAGGTATAAAAGAAATAATTAACAATGCATGGTCTCGCTATAATGTATCAGCATTTCTTATATATTTTAGTTTATTTGTATACGTTCTATATTTCAAAGTTTAGGCATTTTTTTTTTTTAAAAATTTTGGACCCGTATATTTTTCTCTTTGCTGTTTTCTATTTAATCTAAAACAATCACATACATTAGATCTCCATGTAAACATTGTCACATTTACATGTTTTGTATAGACTATATGGGATGTCCTTAAATAGAGGCGACAAATACAAAAGAGACTCATAAGTAGAGGGAAACTAACAACGTCATGTAAAAAAACGAATGACGACGAAAAGACAAACAGGTGCACAAAAGCAATTTGAACCCCATAAAAAATGGGGGGGGGGGGGGGGGGTCACAGGTGCTCTGGAAGTGTAAGTGATCCTGCGTTACCAGTGACACCTTCCATGTTGCCCATAGTAAGTACAAATTCGGTAATATGTCTCATTCTGTAATGTCGCAATCGGGGAAATGAAGACATGATCTGATAACGACAATTGGTACATATACGTGGTCATATGTAACACAGATATTCCCTGACGGAATTCGTGATTGAAAATATAGACGCGTGACGAGACGCTTTGCAAGTCACATGTAGCCTATAAGAACTTTTTAAAATTGTCACTCGAAGGTGACCATAATGGACTTGAAATATAATAATTTTATTGACATTCAGTATATAAATGATTTAACCCAACTGTTAGAAAGAACATTTTATACACATAAAAATCGTTAAAAAACGAACGAAAACAGAAAAGCATGCAGTATAAAAAAACGAATAGACAAAGAAGCCCAAATAAAACACAGAAAAAAGGATAAAAAGCAAAGCATATGAATTAAGTCACAAAAAACATCACTGTAAATACAATTATCTCATTAATTAACTAGCAAGAAAGGGTATTATCTAGCCATCAAAAAAGCAAATCAGGATACAAATCAACACACAAAAAGGCAGAAGACAAGAAATGCAGTAAAAATCTCGAGACTGGTTTCTTAAAATAGCAGCAAATGACAATCATTTTTAAAAGTCATCTTCAAACTTCAATCACACAGAAAAGAGTAGACTGACACCAAAATTAGAAATGCTACAAAAAAAAAAAAAAAAAAAAGAAAAAATTTAGAAAGTTTATCAAAAAAGACAACATCATTTTCAATTAATTGGGAATAAAAGGGAGGAACTTGCTGGCCTGTTATTGCTTTTCTCTATACAAAATGTGTTTTTCTTATGGAGAAGGGCTACTTTTGCTTTTTAGACAGTCTTGAAATGTTCATAGTGATATAGACAGTTCTACAACTTAAATTATCAGACGATGATTGTTTTATGACTTGCTCTAAAGAATGTTTGTTACTACTGTGTTTAATTATTTGCTCGTGTATGTACCTTTGACTAATTTGAAATTTATTCTGTTTTCAGTGCAATAGTCGGAGCCTGCATTGGAGCTATAGTTGGTCTAGTTTTTTTCATCGTCCTCATATACCTCTGCTGCAGATGTAAGTTTCTTTTAAGTACATGTATACGCATGTACAACAGATAGTGTTTGATTAAAAATATAAAATAGATGACACGAAACGGTGATTATCAAAGTAAGTTTGCATTTTATTTAGGTGATTTAAACAGAATCAGTCATATGATTTCAAACTCGTGTTTTATATTATTGAGAGTTGACGAATGAGCTCCAAAATTGATAATTTACGTAAATGAACTATATTGGACATATATACATTCAAACGAGGAATATGCTGCAGTTTTGGAGTATTATTGAGTTGAAGCTTATATTGAGGAAAGAGACAATAACCGATGCTGAATCTGGGTTTTAAAACTTTTCCATAAAAGTGCTCTGCAAATATTTAGTGGGGTGATCTTTTTGAACCATGTTAATTAATCGTTACGATATTGTAAACATTTCATGAGCTTGTGTACACTAAAATGATTTAATCAATTAATACAAACATAATATATTTTTTTATACAGTAATGAACATCTATGGTCCTGTTGAAACTTTTCCGAGACTATTTAAGACATTTTTACACTTAATTTGTTGGATGTGTCTTGATTGATAATTGATTCTCTTATTAGTTAAAACTAGCTTTGAGATAGCTGTTAGTAACTATGAGAATTCTAAGATAGGTAATTGGTTGGGTTATTTTTGTCTTCTTGTTAGGGGTTTTCTTGTGTGCTTCGTGTTGATCTGACGAGTCAATACCTTTTGTACATATCTTACGATTTGTTTTTGTGTTGTCTTGTTGCATCATCGTCCCAGGTTATGGATGGATGGATTAAACGCTCACATTCATGTTAAACCCCGTAAAATTCTTGATGTGTCTGTCCCAAGTCAGGCCTTAGATTCAGTGGTAGTCGTTGGTTGCTGTCTGTCTGTCTGTTTTGCTTTTGTTTATTTTAACGCATAAAACAGGCAGTTTTTTTAAGCATAAATCAGGCTCTTGTTCTTTTTCTCTTTTTACTTCTTTCACATTTTGTCATGTCAGGTAATTTCATAGCTTGTGATACGATATAGATTTTGCTCATTGTTGCCAAAATTGAAGATATCATATTTACTTGCAAAAAAAACACCTTTATAAAAATCTAAATTAAAAAAACCAACATGTGTTTTTGTTTTACACAGCGAAGAAAGGCACAGTTGGAACTGTTGTAGCACATCCAGGTGTCCATACCACAGTAGTTGGACAGCAACAGTATGGGCAGCCAGCTTATGGACAACCGCCCCAATACGGTCAACTACAGTACAGTCAACCACAGTACAATCAACCACAGTACAGTCAACCACAGTATGGACAACCAAGCGGTTTTGCACAGCCAGGCCAGGATCCTGCATATCCACCCACTAAACAATAACTTTTGTGCTACAGCTACTGTTTCAGGAACTAGACGTTTATATAATTATTGATATTTCATTGTTTGGATTTAATTTACTTAACGTCATACGATACAGTTTTGATCACATGGTCATTCTTTTACGAAAATTTGCAATCAAGCTATTTTTACCTAATCAATTCAATTATGTAATTAAGAATATACCTGCATGTGCTAAATGTAGAAATAAATGGAGTCAAAATGTTAGACATTTACTTACAATTGCAGTTACTTGGACATTTTTTATCCTTCGGACAGACATACCTCACTTTTTTTTTGTAAAAAGATTAAGGATATCTGTGTTACAAAAGTAGACTCTTAATTTGTGTAAGAATTCTTTTTTTAATAATTCATTTTTTATTATATTTTAATGGTTTTAGATAAAAACGTCATTTTTTGCTGTATATCTATCTAATCTAAAAGAAATTATCGGAGATTTCTTCATAAAATTTGGAACAAATAATCTTCATACAGTATCAAGTCAAATGTCATTAAAAAAAGGGGTCCATGTACTCGTATTCAAAATAATGATTAAAATCACTCGAAAAATACATCTTTTACCGATTTGTTGCAGTTTTTCGTCGCGAAAAATAACATGTCACGTTAGCAACGTCATTATCTCCCCTGTAACTGTATCGTATGCCCTTAACTGATTTACATACATTTCCGTTTTACAGTAAAGAAAATGAAAATATGGAAATATCATCCAGTTAAAGGCCCCGAAATCATGAATAGTTAAATTTGTGAAAAATAGTTAGATTTATTTAACATAAAACTTCCAAACTAGACTATTTTAATTGTTAGCTTAAAGGGGTATTTTATACAGTATGTGTGTGTACACCAACCACTTTTACATTTAGATTTGAAAATTCCATTCAAAGGTATACACAGATGTTTTGATTCAAATGTTTACCCTTTTTTAAAATGCATTAACTGCCAAATTCATGATTCATCGTATTGATACAAACTATAACGTATATAATAATCCTAAAAGTTCCACGGGAAAAAATTAACAATGCACGAAATCGTAGAATACCAACATATTGGTTTATATCTTCTTCATTTGAAATCTGCTGGATAGTTGCTCATCATTTGACTTAAAATCTTATCTTAGGTTTGGTTTACAAATGCATTAGAGATCACTTATCAGATAAATCAGCATTTGTGCACTGTTACTTTCTATTGAAACAGGAAGTTTAAACCAAAGAATTTAGCAAATGAAAGATTCTGCAAACCTTTCAATGACAAAGAAGAAGACAAATGACCCTTTCTTTACAAAAAGGTAAAACATGCTACACAGAGGAACAACTGATCAGCATGAGTTTCTCGTTGAAAACATATTTGTTGAATTTAGAGGTAGACTTTTTAAGCAAGTTGTCGGCATTCCTATGGGAACGGACTATGCACTTCTCCTTGCCGACCTCTTTTTATTTTCATATGAATCGGAGTTCCTTCAGACAAAAAAAACCCAGAAAATGAAAGAAGCCCGATCATTTAATTTCACATTCAGATATATTGATGATGTTCTTTCCATTAACAATCCAAACTTTTCTGATTTGGCTCCATTAATATATCCTCCAGAACTAGAAATTAAAGAAACAACAGACACGGCTTCCTCCGCCTTATTTTTCGACTTATACCTCAAATTTGACATAAGTTGTCAACTCAATACCAGAATCTATGACAAGCGAGACGATTTTAATTTTGAAATTATAAATTTTCCCCACCTTAGCAGCAATATACCAACTTCATCTGCATATGGAATATGCATTTCATAACTCATTCGGTATTCAAGAGCTTGCAACTGCTACTCAGACTTTATAAAACGTCACCAGTGTCTGAGCAGAAAGTTGACGAGCCAAGGTTATGTCATAGAACGTCTCGTCCTGTTTCTAAAAAAATTCATTGGAGGATACCAAGACCCTGTTGATAAAGATGACATATCAACTTCACAAACAATACATGATGGGTCTTGCAGTATAGATTGTAGGTATTGACGTTGTGTTGCATCTTAATTACGTGTTAAAGTTCCCTTTTTTTTGTCATAGTATATTTTCAACCTTTACTGTGTATCCATTTTTTTATTATATACGTATGACGTGAATCGGTACTTATACATCCCGACATTGTGTTATTGTACTATGGTCAAATTTGAGTTCTTGTCTTTCGTTTTTGCTTATGTGCTTTGTGTAAATGCCTTTTTATGTTTCTTTGTTGAAACAGGTATGTGTTTTTATAGTGATTAAGATTATATTACAATGTTGACTGCTGTACCCCAATTTTTGATGTTTTTACCTACTATGTCTGTATATTTTGCTCACACATTGTTGTCAATATAATGGAATTCTATGCGACTGTCATACAAGTGAGAGCTTTAGCTAGCTATAAAACCAGATTTAATCCACCATTTTCTACATAAAGAAATGTCTGTACCAAGTCAGGAATATGACAGTTGTATTCCATTCGTTAGATGTGTTTGAGCTTTTGATTTCGCTATTTTATAAAGGACTTTCCGTTTTGAATTTCCCTTTGAGTTCGGTATTTTTGTTATTTTACTTTTTTATATTGTCAACTATATAAAACATTCGAAAAAAGTTTAGTATTTCAAGAATTTGATTTAAGATGATAATATCAAATCGATAATATATTTACTTAATCCGAATTATTGGTGAATGCCAGACATATATGTAATTATTTGAGTCAAGGTTTTGAAATTGATTATAAGACTGTATGTGAGTTGGTATAACACAAGTAATAAAAGTACTACTTTTGGTTATAACATATGGATATTTTTGTCTTGTTTTGTAATATTTTTTATTTACATTATTTGTCATGTTATATATGCTGTATACTTGGATAACATATTATTATATATGATTTATGCAATACAATATTTTTTTATTTCGAAGTTTTTATTAATGCGAATATACGACTGGTTGAGTATCGCAATAGGCCCGAGAACACAGTTAATTCGTAGTGCATTTCTTTTAGACAAAAACGCAAATCAAACAAATCACACCTGCTCTATCCAAAACAGATTTTTATAGTGTAGTGTACTACTTTTGAGACAAATTATGTCAAAATTATAGAAAGTCTATCGGCTCTAACTCAAAATATGATTAATTTTAAGTTAAGGGGTCTATAATTCAGTTTGCCAGCTTCAGCCATACTAATTTTGACCTTTTTAAACTGGACCAAATCACTACTTTACCTAAAAATTCATGCCCCATTTTTTTATTTGCATGTAATTTCATCCCCCTACTTCATAAATTATAGAGAAATTAATTTGGAAGGTGTATGAAAAAAATTATACATTGTCCACACTAGGGACTCTATTTGTAGACAACGAAAATGAAAGGAAGATAACTGTTTCCACGGACCTAATAGGATAGAAAGACTTGACCAATTTTAATAAAACATGGCATGATCTCAGCTCAGAAAATTATAAAACAGTTTACCAAGTTTCATGGCAATAGAATATATATTAAAGATCATATGGTCATTCTTATATTTGAACTTTGGGCATTTATTTTTGACGTTTAAATCGAACAATTTCAACTATCAAGATTTTGGCCTACAAAATTTAAATCTTGCAAAAATTGCAAAAATTGCTTTTGAAATGCCTTAATATATAATGTAGCATACTCATTTGATGTATCAGATTTATAACAATTCTTTAAAAGTCAAATTTATATGAGCCTGTGCCTGAAAATAGAGATTTTCCAAAGAAAGGGGGGTGGGGTGGAGGGGCTTATATAAAATTGTAATTTTTTTCCACCAAATTGAAGTAATTTTGTGATATATAATTCTTTCATATATATTTCATGTACTTTAACTGGAAAAAAAGTTACAAATAGCATACCAGATGAGTATAAAATGGTCCTAGGCCATGTATGACTTAAAATAATTTAGTGTCAATTTAGGCCGTAACAAATATAACGATAACTGTGTCCCCGGACTAATAATAAGAACTCGCATTCTGATATCTAATTCAGATATCTGTACGCAGATTTTCCTGAAATTCCAATAATTAATCTCGCATTATTGACCTTTTTTCAAAAATCGGAACAATAAATGCACGCAATAATATATGAATTTACATTTTTATTTTGCAAGTTGATTTGGTAAGTAAATGTTAAATGTCAAACAAAAATTCTAAAACCACTAATAAAATCTCGAGATTAAAAATTGAAACCACTAGTCTTATTCATATGTCATAAACTGGAGAGCCGGTATGTAATTCTACGAAAAGTGCGTCTTTGATACTCCGATGTCAACGGCAAGTTTATAAAACAGCTTCCATTGATTTCAAAGTAAACAACACGATAGCCTGAGCGTATATCAGTAACTTGAAGACCTTACAACTGTTCGGTTTAAATTCATTGATTACATTTATAAAAGTCCTGAGGATTGTTTACCTCCAAAGTACCAACACCTCGGATTTTAAACTTGAACTTCCACTTTGGATCATACTGATAACGCTCAGAGTCTTAATGAATTGTATCAGGTGAAAGTGTGATATTAAAAGACATAATGTCCAAACAGTTACAAATTGAACCATATTGAAATCCTTTGAAATACCATTAACGGTTCCATTTTTACTGACCAGATGCACATTTTAAGATTAAATTTTTTACCAGTGATGATCGAAAAAACAAACTAATAAAAATGTTGAAGAGCGGATAAACCAAAACAAGAAATTATAACTAGCATGATGAAGATACATTCCTTTTTTTATACGAATCCTTGAAATCAGCAAATAAAACAATATATGTATTGTTATTGAAATATTAAAGTTTTGTCTACTAGACAATACAGACCCTTCCATTATTCTTGAATAAATCAGGATCCGTTCAAAAAACAAATCTGACTGTTTATATAGTCTTATGTTTGTTGATGTGGTTCATAAGTGTTTCTCGTTTCTAGTTTTTTATATAGATTAGACCGTTGGTTTTTCCGTTTGAATGGTTTTACCCTTGTAATTTTTGGGGCCCTTTATAGCTCGCTGTTCGGTGTGAGCCAAGGCTCCGTGTTGAAGACCGTACTTTGACCTATAATGGTTAACTTTTATAAATTTTGACTTGGATGGAGAGTTGTCTCATTGGCACTCATATCACATCTTCTTATATCTATTATATATGTCAGAACAAGTACAAGAGACAAATCAGATCCTAATGAATTTTATTTATTAAATGTTTGTAGTTAGTGTTTTCGAAAATTGATGCAGCCGTAATAACCAGTTAAATTACGACTATTTCAACCGCCACAAACACCACCAAAAGCATAACCTCCGTACCGACCTCCTCAAAAAGACCAAAACATATATAAATGTATATATATAACTAAATAATTTAAGTTCAAATTGTTTAGAGAGGTTTCTAACATTAGTCTGATTTGCATAGTCTATATAAATTTATATAAGCCAACTCTTAGAAAGACCGGATGATCAAAAGTAGAATGAACAAACTCAATTGATGTCCGAGAACGTCTTAAGCTGATAGAAGCAAATATTAAATTAAGATCACTAAAAAAAAAATAAAAAACAGTCGTCCTATAACGAAATATTGTACAAAAACTTTCACGAAAGCAAAAACAGACACAAAAACCTAACTTTGAAACATGTTAAAAAAAGCACACAAAGAAAACGGAATAACCTTCATTGTAAACATACACAAAACTAATGAATGCCCGAAACCCTTCAAGATATATGATTTAACGATAGCACGATACGTACTTTCAACCGGAACTTGATCATATCCGGCCGTCACCGAATTGTCACACCTAACAGAATCCACACGTAAATTTAAATTCCTTAGCCTTTATTTGCAGATGCAGTTGTATGCATTTCTGAATGCAGAGTTTTCGTAAACAGTAGAATAGTCTTGAATTCTGTGACGTCACAAATATCAATATTTGGTACTACGATCCAAAACCAGGATACGTATCAACTTACAATGAATAGGTTTATATATATATATATGTATATCAATATAGTATACATCGTTCTCTGCAATAAACTATGAACTATGAAATAAAATACACATGTCAATGCAAAAAGTAAAAATACAGATTAAGAATTATAGATATTAGATTATGAAATTGCAATGCCTAATTGAGTTTATATGATGATATTTTAACATCGTTTTCAACAAGAAATGTAACAGGTTTTTTTAATAAAATGAATTAAACATGCGAAATGTATACACTGTCATTATTACGTTGGATTCTCATCTAAAAGCATAATTTCAGGTACCAGTTTGTTTCAAAATATATTTTCTAATATAAAAGTCAAGACTTTCACTACAACTACATTATGTTATTCAATTATTATGTATTTAATTTAACATGCGCCTGCGCATGTTTATCTAGTAAAATAATTAAAACCCGTTTCTTGCTAAAAAAACAAGCAAACACACAACTGTCAAACATTTTTATTATTTAAAAAAATTGCCTTTATGTTTTAAGGCACTGTTCACAAATTTTCCAATGACAGTATTTAATCACGACTTATTTAAGTGTCAACAAAAACAGTAAATTCGTACAGAAAATTTTTCTATACATATAAAATCTTCTAAAAATATAATAAACTGCAAATAGCCTAATCTTGATTATTTCAGTGATATTTTCATTGATGTCACACTAAAAAATGAGTGATGGCAAATCAAACGTTTAACTCTTTAACTTGTAATTCATAGTTATTGTAGAAATATGTTCGACAAGACCCCATATGGTTAATGCTTTTATGCAATATTTTGAAATAGTAATATGTTGTCATCATCCAAATCACTTATAGTTTAAAAAACGACTAGATATGTTTTACTTTGTGAACTGTCGTTTATCTGTTGGTCATTTTCTTTTCTAGCTATAGCGTTGTCAGTTTATTTTAAACTTTGAGTTATGGACTTGCTATTGGGCACCAAATGAGGCCCCTTTCTCTACTACCACTTGATTTGTAACTTGAACAAGAAAGTAACTTGTTTTTATCTGGAGCAATTCGTTCGGATTTTTTTATATGGCGTATTTACGACAGAAATGGCATCACAATCTTTATCTCAATAGTGATGTGTTGTAAATGATTTTTTTGTCAATAGCCCAAGTAGGTGGAGTTAGATGTTAATTAAAACCAACTTACCACGAAGAATCAATTACTTCAACGAAAAGTAAACCAACAAAAATACCGAACTCCAAGGAAAATTCAAAACGGAAAGTCCCTTAACAATTGGCAAAATCAAAAGCTCAAACACACCAAACGAATGGAAAACAACTGTCATATTCCTGACTTGGAACAGGCATTTTCTTATGTAGAAAATAGTGCATTAAACCAGGTTTTAAAGCTAGCTAAACCTCTCACTTTTATGACAGTTGAATAAAATTCCATTATATTGACAACAATGTGTGAACAAAACAAACAGAAGAGGTCGGCAAGGAGAGGCGTACAGTTCGTTCCAAAGAAAATAGCAAAAACGTGATAAAGCCTTGCGGTCATACACATTTTGACTATGATTATTGTACTCAACTATAAAAAAAATGTACGTCGAGTCCTGAATAAAGTTTATTACCGAAAGTATAAAAATAAGAAGTTGTGGTATGATTGCCATTGAGACAAATCTCCACCAGAGAACCAAATAACATAGAAGTTAACACTTATAGGTCACTGTAGGGCTTCAACAATGAACAAAACCCATATCGCATAGTTAGCTATAAAAAGGCAATTCAAAAACAATTCAAACGAGTAAACTAACGGCTTGATTGATATACAAAACAATGATCGAAAAACAAATATGATATACAGCAACAAACGACTTCCACTGAAGTACAGGCTCCTGACAGGCCCATACAGAATGTGGCGGGGTTGAACTAGTTTGCTTGCGTCAAACCCTCCCTCTAACCTGGGACAGTGGTGT